CTATAAGCCTATGAGAAAAGTCCAGATCCTTAGATTTTGGGGACAGTGTCTCTCACTACATAGGCCTGGCTAACCTGTACTGGTTATCACTGGTATCACTGGTACATGCTTCTGTGCTGAACTAAAAATTCCAGCTCTTTGAAGGGCTTTGCATCTTTGGACCCTTCAAGCTGTTTATCTCTGAAGTGTCTTCTGCATTGACCTATTTCCTGTGCACCCCAAGGGGTGCATGACGATGCTACAGGGATGACAGCATCTCTTAAGAGTCAGGAGTGGTGCAGAAGGTGTGCCCTGTGGACCTGCTGTCTGAGGCAGGATGAATTTAATGTTTTCGTTAGCCTATGGACTATAGTTTTTTTGTATTAGTTATTATAGAGATTTGTGGCTGCCCCTTTACTTTCTCTCTGGACACATTTTGGGGTGTATTTGATAGCATGGCCTGGGTCCCTGTGGAGAGAGAACATAGCCTAGCTCTGTGGTAGAAAGCTAAACATGAAAAACAGAGTCTTGTTTACTCACCTTGTAGTTTCAAGACAGGTTTGTTCCTTTCTCATTCTCCTCAGTCTGGCTCCACCCCCTCATCCTTTGGAAGAGGGAACCTAAGACCCAGCAGTTAAGGAACCTGCCCGGTGGGTGCCTGGGTTCCCACCCCCACCTTCTGTGATAACCTCTCCAAGATCAAGGAGCCCTCTCTCTTCTCTGTCTTCAGGTTCTGAACGTCACTGGTTAGTGCCCACCTGGCCTTGCTCTGCCCTTTATAGTGCCCTGCCCTGTTTGAGTTCAGGAGCCCGACTGGCGAGGGTCAGCTCCGACAGTGCAGCCTCAGTCTCTTTGACCTGTGACGCGCACTATGTGGGGAAAATTTCCCTGTGCTGGTGGAGCTCACAGTGAAGCAGGCTCTGGAAGCCAGGCTGCCCACCCCACTTCAGACCTAAGTATGTTTGTACCAAGTGTCCTCCAACGCCCCTTGTCTAGGGATGAGTTGAGCCCCAGCTCTCTGCCAGGGAGGGAAGAGGAAAACTAAGTGACCCAAGAGCTAATGCATTGTATCGTTGCAGACAGCTAGAAGGTAAGCCATTTCCAATAGATGTTGCTGTCCTTAGGCCCGTGATATAAAAATTCCTACAAGTGGAAATGGAGAGGCCAAAGCTCAGGGAAGATCGTCTGTGGAGAAAAGCTCAGTCAGGAGCTCCAGCTGTACCTCAGCTTCTCCAGGTGTTTTCTACTGGTTGATGTAAGGGTCCAGTTTGATGATGCCATCTCTGATGTCTGTGCTTACTTCAGCTCGATGTATACTTCATAAACTCACCCATGGAAAACCAAATTATGACTATTGTGGGTCATTCTCCAGGCTATGCATCAGACCCCTCGGGGCCCTCCGTGTCAGGTCCCATTCTCCATGTGAAGTGCCACCCTGCAGGTTTGCTGGGAAGAGTCATGAGAAAGGGTTAGAGGCTTTCCAGACAGAAGTTAGCTGCTGCCCTGCTGAGTCTGTCTGACCTTGAGTTCTGCTGCTCCCCATCTGGGTCTGATTTTCTGATTTGTGAAAAGGTGTGAGTAACCACCACTCTGAAGTGCTCTGGGGATCGCATGAGCTGTGTGGTCAGTAACGGACCCCAGTGAGCATGCTCAGTAGAGGGCTTCAGAGCAGTCTGGATCAGTCGCTACATGATGCTCAGATGAGGTCAGCATCTTCTTGTGCCCCATAAGATGCGCCTCTGTCATCTGTTAACTAGGAGAAGGCTTCTGCTGTTACTTAAAGGTCAGCTCAGAGAGATCCCGTGACCTTATATCAGTCAACTGTATATTTCCTGAAAAATATTTAAATAATTTCCCTGGCTAGTGTAGTGTTGCTGTATTTATTTTTAGGATCATTTTTAAAGCACAGAGTTAAAATCTGTGATCCTAGCCAAATGTTCATATTTTTGTGGTTGCTTTGTATTTTTTCTTTATGTGTACTATTAGTGTATATATGTGTGTGTATGTATGTATGTATGTATGTGTATGTGTGTGTATGTGTGTGTATGTATGTATGTATGTGTGTGTATGTGTGTATGTATGTATGTGTGTATGTGTATGTGTGTGTATGTATATATACACAGATATATCTCCCCTTAAATTGTTATAGTATATATACTTAAAAGCATGCATACTGAAATACTTCATATAATCCTTGCTTAGAGCAAGCAGTGTTTTTTTTAATCTGGGTAGTTGGGTTCAGACAATTGTCCTGAGTCTTGTGGAATATCCTTAGAGCCCCTACTGAGGCTGTCCATCTTGTGAACATGAAGGGAGCATGCCCAGCCTCTTTACAGTCTGTGCCTGGTGACCATGTGGGCTTGAGAAAATACTGGAAAGACTGCAGGCTCTACTGTCAGTATTCTAAAGCTTACTGCACTAGCTTCTTAGGGACCTCTCATAGGGACCCCGTATATAGATGCATGAACCTGCATAGGGGAGAGTCAGTAGAGTGCTTTGCATAGACACATGTGTATGCAAATGAGTATACACACAGAGGAGTAAACACAGATGAGTATAAATGAAACCAGAGAAAGCTGAGCCAGCATTCAGTTTTGACATGTGACATCTCTATAGAATAAAGCCATTTCGAGACTCAGGTTTGACATGCGACATTTCTATAGATCAAAGCCATTCAGGGACTTGGTCTGACATGCGACATTTCTATAGATTAAAACCATTTCGGGATTTAAGTCAGGTGCACAGAGGGATCCGTCTTCTATATTATTAAGACCTCGCCTCGCCATCTGTCTGTGGTTACAGGAACACTGCAGAGATCTAGGCTTGGCTTTTGGGTTTCAGTTTTTCTTGTCTCTGCCTCCCTCCCTCTGGGATTGCAAGAGTGTACTACCATTCCTGGTTCATATGCTACTGGGAAGGAACCAGGGCTTCGGTCATGCTGGACAGGCTCTGCCAACTGACTGCGCCCTATCCCACGGAGTTTTTAAAATATGTCACCACTGATGAGTGCAGGACTGTAGTAAGAGCCTGGAACCTTTCCTCCGTGTGGAACCTCACAGCTGCTCAGGAGAAACACAAATGCTCATAGTAGCACAGCAGCCTTCACAGAGACAACCTGTGACCTTGAGCCATTGAACTGTGCAGAGTGAGCTGGATCCTGTGGACAGCAAATGAGACCACACCTTATACTTCTTCCTGCCATTCCCTCACTGGAAGGCAAGGAGGAAGGTTAAAGAACAAGGTGGCCTCTGCTGCTAGAAGGGAGAGGGGCCTGCGGGGAAAATGGCAGCTCTGGAAGGGGCGGAGGTGGAGGACAGGCGCTTGCTTCCAGGTTTCCAGTGCTTCCGATTGAAAGCCAGATTTCAGGCTCTGCCTGAGCTAGGAAATCATTCCAGAAGATCAGGTTTCTCAGAGTGCATCTCTAGATCAGCTCGGCTTGCATACTAAAATATTTACAGGCTGCCGAATTCCAGCGACAGCTCTCTAGCAAGGCTCCGGGTGTGACTTGGTGAGAGACTTTGTGTCCCAGGTGCCTTTCATTGTCTGTTGTCGGATGTGGCTCATTATATAAGCTTGCACTGTTAATAGAATTATTCTCCAGGGTGTGTTACACAACATCACTGTGAAGTTGTGTGTGTGTGTGTGTGTGTGCAAGCACCTGTGTGCATGTGCATGTGTGAGCATGTGTGTGTGCATGCATGAGTGTGTGTGTGTGCGCGTGTGTGTGTGTGATATGTGTGTGAGTGAGAGTGTGTGTATGAGCATATGTGTGTGTGCGCACATGTGTTCAAGTGTGTGTGTGCATGTGCGTGTGTGTGGTGTGTGTGAGTGTGTGAGCGTGCGTGTGTGAACGTGTTTGCGTGCATGTGTGTGGTATGTGTGAGTGTGTGTGTGGTGTGTTCGAGCGCATATGTGCATGTGTGTGCACATGTGTGTGTGAGAGAGTGTATGTGTGTGTGTGCAAGCGAGTGTGTGTAGGGGATGCTCATGGAGGTCAAGGGTCAACTTCTAGTGTCATTCCTCAGTTACTATGCCTTCAGCACAGGGGTTACAAACTCAGCCCGCCATGCCTGCATGCTTTTTGACATGGATTCTGGGGTGGAACATGGGTCCTTTCATTTGATACTCTACCAACTGGAGGTTTCAAAATTAATTTCTCATTGGCTCTAAACCCAAATATGATCACTCTCCTCCACAGAGGAAAAACCACAGGACAGTCTTTGTGTGAACTGCACTACCAATTAATGCCTTGCCATTGATTTGAAATAAACAAAACAAAACCTTTAGAGCAATGGTTCTCAACCAGTAGGTCATGACCCCTTTTGGACTTGACCGACCCTTTCATAGAGGTCATCTGAGACCATCAGAAAACACAGATATGTACATTTTGATTCATAACAGTGGCAAAGTAACAGTTACGAAGTGGCAAGCAATTTTACAGCTGGGGGTCACCACAGCATGAAAACTGTATTAAAGGGTCGCACACAGCATTAGGAAGGTTGGGACACACTGTCCTGGAGGCAGGAGCAGACTAAAGCCTTCCTCTGTCAGTAGAAGGGAATGAGAAGGCGCAGACCTGAAGTGGTTTATAAGCAGCCTCTCATGATGCAGTGGGATTGTGCTCAGTGTGCATGTGTGTGCATGTGTGTGCATGTGTGCATTCGTGTGCACTAGCCATGGTGGTAATGATTGTGGAGTGGATTTTCAAAGTGGATTTTCAGCACCTTAATGCTGCTGATACAGAAACGACATAGCTTTAGAATCTAGGCCAGTCATGAAGGAGTGTGTGTCACTATGAACTTGTGGGTTTTAGACTGTTGTTTAATAATTATACAGACAGCTGTTTTCTGAAAGCTCCTACTGTGGTCATGTGTATGTGGTCAGTGAAGGCAGAGCCTGGTGTTGGTGAGGATGGTGTGGGTCGGATCCCTGATGTCACAGTCTTAGGAGCTGAGTTCGATGCCCACCCATAGCCAGCTCTCTGCCGTTCGCGATCTCACTGCCTTTTCTGTCTCTTGCAGTTCTATGTGCCGAAAGAGTTGGCCAGATGACTAAGACGTACAATGACATCGATGCTGTCACGAGGCTTCTTGAGGAGGTGAGTATCTGGGGGAAGGTGAGGGTCGTTTATAGCGGGTTAGCGTGGGTGCCTTGTCTGTTTCGGGAAGGAACCTCACATTGGGGCCTTGTAGTATACAATTTAATGGTCTCATTTTACTTCTTGTTTATTTTGAGACAGGATCTTACTATGTAGCCCTGGCTGGTCTGGAACTTGCTATGTAGGCCAGGCTGAGCTAGAATTCATAGAGATCTGCCTGCCTCTGCCTCCCAAGGCCTGGAATTAAAGATACACTGTCACACCTAATAGCTGTATCCCTAGGCCTTTGCAGTTGCTGATTTTGTGTACAGGTATTAGATTTGTTGTTACTGTTTGAAACCAAAGTCTTATAAAGGCTGCCCTCAGCTGTGTGGCTGACACTGGTCTCATAGTCCCGATGCTTTGACTTCTGCCTCCCAAGGGCTAGGCTTACTGACACACACCGTCATGCCCAGCTGAGATTTGAGTCTGGGGTTGTCCAACTTGTGACATCACAGTATCATATGGCCATTTACACATGTGTTAGCCCACATTCATAGCTATCCTGGGATTATACAGTTGGCAGGCTGCAGGCTAGATACACTTGTGGGGTGTATACAGTTGGTAGGATGTATATAGTCGGCAGGTTGCAGGCTAGATATACCTGTGGGGTGTATACAGTTGGCAGGCTGCAGATCAGATATACCTGTGGGGTATATGCAGTTGGCAGGCTGCAGATCAGATATACTTGTGGGATGTATACAGTTGGCAGGCTGCAGGCCAGATACACATGTTTGTTTTTGATATTCTGAATTGATGGCACAAAAATACAGTGTCATTTAAGTACTTATTGGGATACCCAGTTTCTGATCAGAGAGACCTAAGCTGTCGGCTGGAGAAGAATATGTTCTTGCTTGTGGTTTCTGAACATAGTCCAGAAACTTTGTTTCATCTGGCTGGTGGAGCGGAGCACAGCATCAACATAGAAATATAAAAAGTCAGTCAGACGGGACGGGCAGCATACCCTGGAGAGACTGACGTTCTCAGCTGGTCTTTGGTTTCATTTGGAAGTAGGAGGACTGTGAAGTCCCCTGAGAACACATGGTATGCCCTGTGTACCTGCCGGCCAGGGTGGGGCAGGCCCTGGGAGAAGTATTGGTAATTTTTAATTTTTTTATCCCCGTGACCAAACCTGATAGAAACAGCTTTGGGGGTCAGGGAGAGAGTGCTATTTTGGGCTCAGGTTTCGAGCATTTCAGCACATTATATTAGGGGAAGGGGTGGTTGGGAGGCTTCCCTTGTGGAAGTGAGACAATGAGGTGGTGGTTTCTCAGTTCATGGGGTTGCAAGGAAATAGAAGGGGCCTGGAACCCAGTGCCACGTTATAGCCTTCAAAAGCTGGTGCCTGGTGACCTACTGCCTGCTGCCAGGCCCCGCCTCCTCCTCATGGCACAGCCTTCCAAAACCTTACAGCCAGCTGGGGTGGGGGGGAGAGGATAGGGTGTGGGTGTAGGGCATGGGATGAAGGGGAGGGTGTAAGGTGTGTGTGTGTGTGTGTGTGTGTGTGTGGTGTGTACAGGTAGCTTTGGGCCTTGATTCTAGAATCTAGGATGACTCCGTCCAGTGACTTCCTATTAGCTGCTCCCCTAGAAGAAGGTGAGATCTTGGGGGAGACACTGAAGGCACAGTGGTGGGTGAGACGGCAGCACAGGCAGGCCCTGACAGCGTGGTGGGATTCCGGGCTCCTGCAGCCCCCAGCCCTCTGCCCCTCAAGTCTTCCTCTCTCTTGCATTGTTTCTTCCTTCGGTGTATGAGACGTTTCCACTCACCCTGGAACACATCTGTTCTATTCTGAAGGAGGAGACAAGAACCCCTCAGCTCCACATAGGTGATACCAGGAGTTGGGACTCAACAATGGTCCACTGAAGATGCTGGCCTCCTGCCTTCTGGTGACACCAAGTTGCCACCGTCTTGAGGCTGGTGTGGATGGTGGCAGGTTCACTCGGCTGCACATTGGATTTGGAAATGTACCTGCTGACCAGTCCCTGTGGGGGATTTCTCCCCCATCTGGGGGACCATTTCTTAGAATCATTTCTCCAAGCCTTTGTGTATGGGGTGAGTGTGTGTGTGTGTGTGTGTGTGTGTGTTTCTGGGCTCCTGAGCTTTGGTGGTGAGGCTTGCCCCTTCTCTGCTGTACCCGGCCTCTGCTCTCATCCCATGCTGTCCATGGTTGCCTTACCCTCTTCCTGACCTGCAGAGGTGGCATTCAGAGCGGCCCACAGTTCACGTCCGCACTGACCTGCCGCACTCTCACGCTGCTGGGACCTGTGAGGCTGCTCTGGAACCTGGCTCCAGTAGCTGCGTCCCTGCTGAGACAGCAACACAGGAGCCTCTGTGTTGGTCAGTCTTGTGTCTGAGCCCCTGCCATGGGATCTCATCGTTGTGTGGGACATCTGTCTCTTGTTGCACCTGTAGGAGTGAGATCTGGCAAGCAGCCAAGTGTTGTCTGTCGCAGTCGATATTAATTGGGGGTTTCTACTCCTCCTTAGATCGTTGAGTCCCCAAATAAAAGACACAGAACCTCTATATTTATAATAGGACTTCAAGCACTAGAGATGGGCAGATATCAACCCTCTAAGCTATTTTGTCTGCTTTCCTGTCAATAATTCCAAGCCATCACTTGCTGTGTTCCGCCTGGGCCACTCTTTCTCCAACAGGCCGACCCTCATGGCCATGTACTGATGATCCACCTACCCCAGAGTGACTTCTCCTTCTGCCTCCTCCTCCTCTCCTTGGTTTTTGCCTCAGACCCCAAGCCTAAGAACCAGAGCCCTGCCTACCTCTCTTCTGCCCAGCTACAGACTGTAGGTATCTTTATTCAACCAATAGTTTTAAATTAAGGAGCAGGGCTTGCACAACAAAAGCTGGCATATGAGAACGTTCACCCGTCTTGAGGACCTTGGGATACAGAATTTAGCATTACAGTACACAGCAACAGACCCGACCTCAACAGTTGTCCATCTGTCTTACATTAATTCTACAGATGCCCTTGACGGTAGATATTTTCAGAGTAGAGGGACCTAAATCTGAAGGACAGACACCAGGATCACAACCACAACCACAATGGCTCTGGCTCATAACCACTTCCTGATGGGACTCAGAGCTTTGCCTGTTGCATTTGACACTCTTGAGTCTCTGGAAATATGGCTTCTTGGTTGTCAAGACATTTCCACACTCAGGCCCTGCACCCCTGCGGCTCTGAGCGTCCACAGCCTGCAGCTCCTGGCTGTGGTACATGAGGCCTCATTGTGGGTGTTGTTCCATGGGGTACCACCTTACTGTCTGCCTTAACATCCAAAGACCCCTTTCAGAGGGCCTTGATCTCCATCCCTTTATACAGAGTTCCTGTTTGAGGAACTCTGTGTTTTGACCAGTCTTGATCATGCTCACCTGTAGTCTTAGCACTTGGAAGGTCCAGGTAGAGGAGGACAGAGAGCTGAAGGCCATCCCCAGCTATCTAGTGAGCTTGGGATTAGCCTGGGCTACATGAGACTTGTCTCGAAATTTTTGTTTTGAAGAATTCACTTTTCCTTGGTTAATTTTCTGACTAAGCATGAGCGTATGAAATACAAGCTTTACAAAAGGAACGTCACATCTCCACAGAGCAGTTTCTCCCCTTGCCTCTTTGTAGTTACTGCTTTCCTGATTTATTTTTGATAGGCAATCAGGCCTGTACCTCCATGTTTTATAAATAGCAGCTGTCCCCTTTGTCCTTGGCCCCGATAAGATTATCACAGGGAACTCCCTGCCTTTCTCTGGAACTGGATGACTCTTAGTCTGACTGCTACAGCCAGTCACGTGACAGTCACCTCATACCATTCCTGCTTGGGGTGTGTGTGTGTGTTGGGTCTTTACTGGGAAGGAGATCCTCAGGCTTGTCCTGACTGCACTGAGAATGTACCTAGAATCTGTCTCTTCTGCCCCAGTTACAGCTTTCTGCTGACCCGTAGTTAGTTACAGCTTTTATCCTAAAGCTGGTGAATGGGCTGAGTGGGGGAGGTAGGCTAACCATCTCCCTGGAGAGTGCCAGCCAGCACAGTGTGTGTTGGTGACAAGGGCCAACATCAGCTTGTAGGCTTTCAAGCCACCTTGATTCATTTCTCAGAGAGTAAAGAATCAGATTTTGACTGGCTGGCTCCCGGGCCTGAGTTAGTTATTTATAGCCACTAAGGTTAAAGCCAAACTCATTTCCTGGCTGTTTTCTTGATTTTAGAACTAAATGTTCGATTTATGTTGACTGGCAACAAGAAATGGGAGGTGACTCCTCACACCCTAAACACACACACACACACACACGCGCACACACACAGAGACCCACAGATACACACTCATTCATGTACACACACACAGGCCTACAAATACACACTCACACATGCACACACACATGCATACAGACACATGCACACAGACACAAACACACACACACACACACACAGAGAGAGAGAGAGAGAGAGAGAGAGAGAGAGAGACCCACAGACATACATGCAGGCACACACGCACGCACATACACACACGCACACAGAGGCACACCCACACATACACCTTGCCCTATATCTGTGATTCTCAAGAGAAACTAAGAATCTTGTTGCCCTGATAAACCTGGGCAGAGCAAGGTGTGGCAGTGCAGGGGACTGAGGCTGGAGGATCAGGAATTGAAGGTGAGCCTCAGTTGAACACCTAGACCCCCTCTGAAAACAACATCAGACATCCCAAAAGCCAGAAACAAGCTAGACAAGATAGACTCGAGGCAGTCCAGGAGCTTCCGGTTTTTCTGTTATTCATAAGCAGTTTTCCATCCCTTCCTGTTTTTCATCCTGAAGACGTGCCCTAGGTAATTAATATAAAGATTAGATTTCCAGTGTAGGCTGCCGGGCGGGCGGAGAGCAAGAGGCCAGAGGCCCTGCAGCTGTGAGGTGTGGTCAGTGGGGCAAAGGGCTTCCTGACCTCCTGTGTTCCCATTCTGTTCTCTGTCCTTGTCCCTCTGTGGGGCCAATCCTCCCTGCCACTTGGGAAGCCTTGTCCTTCATGTCCTCCAGCTGCAGCTTACTTCGCAGTGCTCCTTGCCTCACTGCCTGCAGTGCTCCTTGCCTCACTGCCTGCAGTGCTCCTTGCCTTACTGATTGTAGTGCTCTCTGTCTCACTGCCTGTAGTGCTCCTTGCTTCACTGCCTGCAGTGCTCCTTGCCTCACTGCCTACAGTGCTCCTTGTCTTACTGCCTGCAGTGCTCTGTCTCACTGCCTGCAGTGCTCCTTGCCTCACTGCCTGCAGTGCTCCTTGCCTTACTGTAGTGCTCTGTCTCACTGCCTGCAGTGCTCCTTGCCTCACTGCCTACAGTGCT